AATGCTGATCTGGTCCAATTACATGTTAGTAGATAGTAAATCAAAAGTCAAGATATGGACGTGAGAGTCGCTTTGAACGATAATGAATTGTTTCGACAAAACAATCCCAAAAGTTGAAAAAAACCTCAATTTTGAACACCCTACCCAGCAAACACATCTGTTATATTTACATCACTGTTATATAAAATCAACGGAACTTTTTTATATAGAATATTTACGTAAATATTCCATAATACTTCTGAAATATGTGAACCTCCTATTTATATAAAATATTTACGTAAATATTCCGTAACAATTCTGAAATATGTGAACCCCATAATTATATAAAAATGTAACGTAACTATGATGTAAATGATATGTGACAATTTGATATCAATATAAAAGCTTATATGATTGCTAAATGACTTTACTAGGACTCTCGGCCGTAAATTCTCTGCAGACTTGATTCTGCGTCAATTAAGGATATTCGTTGGGATGATCAGTACCCGTGTTCTCGCGCTGTAATGTTCCCCCACCGCGATGATTATTATTTTTCGCTCTCGCACTGTAGCGTTTTTCCGTGACCACTCTGAGGTTATAAGTAATGAGTGAAGACTTTGAGACTGAAAGCATTTTCCTACTATTTCGAGTGATTTTCTTGTTTCCACCAATTTTCTGCGCTGCAGTGGTCCCCCATCCCACATGCCCAATTCCTATTGGTCGACTACTTTGAGGTTATGAGTTATAACCATAAGTGAAGACGAGACCGTAAACAAACTACACTGAAGGCATTTTCGGTATTTTATAACTATTTCGAGTGTTTTTCTTGTTTCTACCTGCTGTGTTTGATGAATTAAACTGAACTAAAAGTGTTAATAAGAATAAGTGGAAGTGAGTGAGAATAAAACATGCCTTGAGATTTTCCTAACCTCTGTGAAAACAACAAGAAAGAAATAGTAAACATATCTATCCTGGAACTTTTAAATATGCCTAGAATAAATGATGAATCTGGTAGGTATTGATAGAATCCGAGGTATAATCTGGTCAAACTCCAATTCTCATATGAAATTGAACAAAAGCCAGTGATTGATTATGATGGCTGATGAAAACCCCAGTGAAAACCCTAAAGTGCCTCACATTCTGGATTAAAGTTATTATTATTGGTTATGGAAATTTAATCATTTTGTCAGTGATTATTATTTTTTGTTTCATGAATAAGTTCATGAAGAACCCCAATAAGATGAATCCTGAAATGTATAGTTTTTCAGGTAGGTACATCTTTTCAAAACTCAAGGTGGTAAAGATGGGAGAGACTATCTATATAGGGGCCACACAATGTTCCTGGTAAGGGCAGAGGGGAAACATTGAAGTCAGAGATTTGAAATCAATCGAAATATCATTATCTGGTAATATATATTTTAGATTTTAATTTGAAAAATGAAAAACAAAGCAATATTTTTTCAGACTCCATCATTATCACACACCCTTCGATATCTTACTCTGATAGATAAACCAGCAGGAAGGTGGTTCTGATTTAGTCACCAGAGGTTAAATGGAGGGTTGAATTGGGAGATCAAGAAGAAATATATAATTTGATTACTCACAATTTTGATTTTTTGAACATTTGAAGTATACATAAATGGTCTCACTATTTTCAAAGAAAAATAAAGGTCATGTTTTTCATTTGATAGTTGATGTTGTTTCATCATCTTCTATTCAGGACATTCCATTTTATTCGATTTGAAGATTATTCAGTCTATAATTTTTTGACAATTTTTTTGTTTTAAAGTTAGCAACTGATCAATTATACTGTGTACTATAATGCATAATATTTGGAACAGAAAGTCTTAAAAATTTTCCAGCAGAGTTTTTTTGTACATGAGGAGAATTGAAGTGAATACTGAATGATATAGGAGATAATAAACCATCAAGCATTTTATGACTAATCTGTCTCTGTTACATTTTCCCACACAATCAAAAATTGCCAAATAACTTCTTTTTCACACTAGCCCACTTCCAACTCTCATGCACATTTCTATAACCATATATTATCATCAGTAATATCAGTATAGATATTATGGAGTGTAGAGTTTGGATCACCTACTGAGATGATTGTACTTAGTTATCAATATGTGCATATGCCTGTGAAGTGAGTTAGTGAAGTGAAGAGGTTATTCGTGAAATTCCCATATTCATTTCGGATATTAGTCAAGTAGTTTCATCAATATTATATTAAAATGGAGTCAAATTTGTAGCTGACATTTTTACATAATAGGGATGTAAATTTTACATAACATCTAGAGAATGTTATGTAATATTTATGTCAGTTTGTTATATACGTAACATCTTATTTATAGCAATGAAATTATATAAAATATATATAAAATAGTGACATAATTGTTACGTAATAATCATGTAGTATTTGTGGCGGACATTTCGCCATAACAGTGATGTAAGTCTTACATAACATAGTTACATAACACGTATTGTCAGTTATGTAACACTTATGTCAATTTTACATAATTGTGTTTGCTGGGTATATCTCTGTGATCCAGCTATACCTCAAGTGTGATACATTGATGAAATCAGGTCTTCAGGAAGAATCTAAAAATGCAATGAGCTACAGGGTGTTGCATTTGGAATAAAAAAGTTTGTATTGCCCTGCTGTTACATGACATGGTCCGAGCGTTTTTTTTTTAAGTCTCCGTATGTTGATTACATATTGCTGAGAGATCTAGGATGTTTCAGGATACCTGTCTGTTATGTGTCTGTTAATTGACTATGTTTCAATAGTAGAACGATAAAGTATCAATAAATGAAAATTAATGTTGCAAAATATGTGTAAAAAGCATCCGATTTTTGATCGAAGGAAGTCATCTTTGGAATTTATAGGAACAAAAATGACAATGTGCAATTGATTTCAGAATGAATCATCGAATAAATTCAAGAGATTTCAAACTCCTCGCAAATATCTCCCAGATTTTTTTTTAATAGCCTGTTTTGTAAATCAATGAGACAGCAGATTTTCTCAAACGGATCTTATGAAATCTTCTGTTTGAAAATGGGCCCAAAATATAGTTTCATTCCAATCTGTTATTATAAGAAATGAATTTTAATGTATGTACTTACCTACCTCACAAATTTTGCTTGTCTACAAATTAATTTTCCATCAAGGCCGTTGCATACATTCCTTCCATAAGGGAATGCCCCACTAAACATGATACATAACAAAAATATTTTTCAGTTATAAGTTTTGTGATATTGTTGAAATAACATTGCGATAATGTCCTTCTGGAGTATCCAACATAATATTATGAAGTAAAACGTTTATGAGACGTTGCATCAATATTGATATCAATACCATTAGATAATATTGTGATATGTTGATTTTAGGTCCATCAGATATATCTTCAGACAGAGTTGTTATGTTATTTGTGCAACGTTTTCGTTTCACCACCTTATAACGTAGCTAACATGTATAGGGGATATAAGGGGATAATATTTTTCCTTCTACGGCAAAGTAACCTTGTCAATTGTCAAAAGTTAATTCAATTCCATTCCAGCCATTTTGTTTGTTGTCTATTATGGTGAACAGGTCGAACAGTGTGATCAGTGATAATATTGATTTTCAGATATTATTCGTAGTTGTTAAAGTAAGTCAAGAACTAAAGAAGTCTAGGACTTAAATAGACTCGAATGAAAATATGAACTGCTCATGATACCTATTTAGATTCCAGGTTTGTTCTGCTGGAATATAGAAATGCAACCAATCTGTATCTGCATTCCATAATATGTGAAAAAGTAGGAGGGATTCGTGAATACGCATTGTGTTCATATTCCACGAATTACAAAAATAATGGGTGAGTTATATGTCATAGCTAGAAGAAGAAGATAGAAAAGAATTACAAAATAAGTCAGAAAACTTCCAAAAACTCGGATATATATTTACCTATTACTTTTCAGAAAGTCAGTAAGAGTTCACTGGACTATGCAGAAATCATAAAGCTAAGCTTGGTATGACTGGATTCATGAAGCATAATAACTAAAATGATAGATAGTAGTTAATCTGTCTCAAATTATCACTATGTAACTGGATCATACTTATAGTCTTTCAGGAGTACGGTAAGATCAATTCTTATTCAGGGATAGATCATCTTCTCTGTCTTTTGTGAAGATCATTTAGATGATTGTCTTGATGATTCCAGACAAAATAGACAACCTAAAAACTCCTAGAAAATAATTAGAATGTTAAAATACAATATTGTTTAGATGTATCCAGTAACATTGAATATACATTATAAAGTAACATCGATTTTATGTGATTCCTGATATATTTATACAATATTTACTATCAACATTACATTGTAATATTTAAAAGAGGCACATAAGCCTATTACCGCAACGTATCTGTGACATTATGCATCTCTCTGAATAACATCACAAAGTAACAATGTAATATAACATTTATGTTTAAGTTATGTTTTCATGTTTAGTGATGGTTGATATGTCCTTTGGTGAATTAAAGAAATAAGATCGACATACCCTTCAGAATTCCCGCAATTCGATTCTGACGTTCATGAAATGTATTGTCGAATTCAGACAATTTTGAATGAAAAAGCGCTGGACGACTATGGTGCTCCTTTCACAATGCGAGGTGTGTAACTTAATAAAATCTAAATATTCAAAAGACTAACAGTTGTCATTTTGTGTCCGAACTCTTTATCTGAATAATACATCTAATGACTCTAGTTATGATAATCCGCCCTAACCGATTCTCGAATAAAATACAGGGTATCCCATTTGAGAATCGAAAGTTGGGGTCTTTTCCGGTCCAACCGGAAGTACAGCAAAGCAAGTAGATTTGTCAAAAAATGTTAATCAAACTATAATTTATAACCTCCTTTATTTTTACTACATTCAAATGAGAAGAATATAGAGGTGAGCCAACTATATAAGTGTTTTTCGTCTGCTGAATACACCAATAATCACGATTCATCAAATATATGACTTCATTTTGAGAATTAGGTACATATATTTCTAGCTTTTACATTATGGTTATTTACGTGATATTTGTATCTCGGTACTTTCAAAATTGCATAGCATATATTGCAGGGAACCAAATAAGGACTTGTTTTTTCATGATTTTTTTTATGACATCGTAACGAATCTTCCCTAACTGTTTTGAACGGGCAAAGCTCACATGATAAATGTATTTTTTTTGTATGATTCCTTTTTGCCACACATTGTTTACACTCAGGACACTCAAAATACTCATTCTTCAGACAGACACGAGGTTTAGATACATTCAATTCGGTATGGGCTTTAGATATATGTGTTTCAACGTTTTCATGTACCTTGTGCACAAAAGAGCAATAAACACACCTGTACAACTTCACTGGAGAATGGGGTTTATAATTGTTATGAACATGGGAATTCCTGTCGTCAGTCTTGTTAAATAACTCTAAGCAAATTTTGCACGAGTATCTCGAAATCTGCTTGTGTGCCATAAAATGTGTATATATTCTGGATGCATTAGGAGTTTTCCATGTGCAATTCGGACACTTGTAAACTAACTGCAAATCTTTCGCTTTGTGACATGGAGAATCTTCAGGTTTTTCGATTAGCTGGCAGCAAACTGAACATGCGTATTTTTTGCACGCCTTCAGAAGCTTTTCCACCTTGTGTACACTTTTCCAATGCTTTATCATTGTGGAGATGTCTAAGCTTCGAAATGTGCATTCAGTGCATTCACAAATCTTTTTAAATTTTCTAACTTTGTCGCTATATATAGAAATGGAGCAAAACTTTAAATGTTCAACTATTTGCGCTGAATATTTGGACTCATGGCCACACTTCCAGCATCTATAGAATTCAATGATGAATTGTGTAGCATTTTCTATACGTCGTCGTTTCGTCTCTGTACTACACGATTCCTGCGGCTGTAGAGATTCATATTCGGACATGTCGGAGCAAATGGGGATGAGCCTCGACTGTGCATCATCTTGGGGAACTCCAGAAATACTTGCTTCATGTTGTAACATTTCAGTTGTATCGCAATCATCTAGGACATATATATCTTCACTGTTCATAAAGTCCGTTTCAATATTTTTTCGGGGAAACCTGCAATAGGCCAAATAAATCACGATTAACATTCGTGCATCATCTATACTATCTACAATCCGAATAAAATGCATAACACTAATAATATATCCAGAGATTATATGTGTATAATCTCTGATATATCTGTTACAAATAAAAATTGAAACGTCATTTTATGTTAACGAAATCAAACTTTCTTCGTACAGAAAATGGAAATAAAATCACTAACTCAGGCCGAAATGAATTATTTTCACGACGCTATATTCGTGAAGATATGATATTCTAATTATCTGTACCAAACGAATAATTATTATAGCCCGGAAAGTACTTGTAATCTGTGAATATACCGAGAAAGAATTGATATTCCCATCACATAACGAATGCGAATCTTCAATGTATTTCTTTATATACAGGGAAATGTCATGTCGTGAATGATAAGGCATCATCACGAGGCGTTTTAAAAATCGGGTTGGTTAGTGGTAAAACAATGTAATGTTTTATACAGGATATATAGACGATTTTTTTTCGTTTAATAGGTAATTAAGGCATTTTTGACATCAGGCCAGAAATTTCACATTTTGCTTCCACTGTTGGATTCCTTAATTATTTCCTACAGAAATTGTATAAATCATTTTAATCGATAACTTGTTCCGTTCTAGAGAAAATCTCAGTTTGAAAACATACATTGCAACCATTTCGAAGGTAATTGAAACTCTATATTTATTCAATACCATCACGGTAGTTGCAGGACTGACAGAGTGAGCCAAAATAATGTTGGTACATCATATATAAGAAAATGTCTATAGCACTTCGTTACGGAGTTATTGACCTTGAAAGTTTCTGCAAGTCCATTTAAACTTTCAAGGTCAATAACTTCTTAACGAAGTGCGATAGATCCTGTAAAAAACATAATAACTATATAAACAGCCGTTCACATTCCGAAAGGAGCATTGCATGAGTTATTTTACGAAGCGAGAGAAACTCAAAGTCATTACCACAACTAGTTCATAAAATGAACGACAAAATGGTAGATAACGAGAGAAAAACAACTACTTTCCTGGCTATATGCCACGCAGAACATTGCATTACATCCTCCCGAAACCTATGCGATAGTTCGTATAAACGAATAAAATCGCAAGTGTTTCCTTCCTAAACGCTGAGCTGCGCTTAAGTGGTTCAGGAACGCTGACTACCTGCAGACCGGTTTCGAGCTCTTGGCTCTCATCAGTACAGGGCTGTCCCAGATAGCTTCTTGACCGCTATCTGGTGCGATTTTATTCGTTTATACGAACTATCGCATAGGTTTCGGGAGGATGTAATGCAATGTTCTGCGTGGCATATAGCCAGGAAAGTAGTTGTTTTTCACTCGTTATCTACCATTTTGTCGTTCATTTTATGAACTAGTTGTGGTAATGACTTTGAGTTTCTCTCTTCGTGACCAATGCATTCCACTTTGAGTATTTGGCTTTTTCCCTAGTTGAAAATACGCCAGTCGGGCAACCAGCCACTCCCATTTCATCTGAAATGGGATTTTGTTTTGGAGTGTTTCTTTCCTTGCCAGGTGGCGTTCGCGTTTTCATTTCGCAGACGTCGAACGCCTCGTATGGTATAAATGCTGAGATGAGTTTACGTTGGGTCAGGTTCGCACCAGATAGCGGTCAAGAAGCTATCTGGGACAGCCCTGTACTGATGAGAGCCAAGAGCTCGAAACCGGTCTGCAGGTAGTCAGCGTTCCTGAACCACTTAAACGCAGCTCAGCGTTTAGGAAGGAAACACTTGCGATTTTATTCGTTTATACGAACTATCGCATAGGTTTCGGGAGGATGTAATGCAATGTTCTGCGTGGCATATAGCCAGGAAAGTAGTTGTTTTTCTCTCGTTATCTACCATTTTGTCGTTCATTTTATGAACTACCCAGTAAACACAGGATATCCGATGGACATCCATTGAAGGTCCATATTTGGTCCACATGGACATGGACTGGAAAAGGACGTCCAATGGACGTCCATTTTGAGGTTGGTATCATAGGGGTCCATTTATGGACATCTTATGGATATCCATGCATGTACATCAGATGGATATTCATTCATGAACATCCAATGGATATCCCATGGATATCCGTGTATTCACGAAATATTGAATTCTTATGAAAATAATAGCATGGGTTATCCAATTGATTTGCGTCGCATAGAAATATGGTTTGTGTATATAATTTCCTCCCTATCTAAATATTTTATGATCCTTCGGCAGGTTTAAGAATTCAGACACATATTTTGCTCGATTTTTGGTTGTTTGTCCTGTAAGTATGTGTTCAATACCTATTATAGCTTTGAAAACGAAATAACCAAATGAGGAAATAAGAGACCAATCACAACACGAATTCAATCTGACCTGAAATGAACCATCTAGAGAAAGGACAGAAAAAGGCAACAAATAGTCCGTGCGGGAACAAGTTTTCGGAAAATGTCTAGCAAATCCTAAAAAAAACATAATTGAAACAGCGATTCACTTTCGGATCCAACAGTGAAAGCCTTCACAGTATTATTATTCGATTAACGATTAATCACTTCGAAGAAATGAAAAAGGAAGCAATCGTCACTTTGTGGTATTGCATCCTTCATGGCACTATGCTCCGTTTCAGGTCGGATTGAATTCGTGCTCTTCAGTCAGGGCCAAATGCGGTTGGCCTCACTGATTTTCGATAGGTGGTGTCAATGGCAGTTATACGATTGACATTTGTAGGTTATTTTATTTCGGTATTTGGGTATTTCCCTTGTTATTGTTAATTGTGATCATTGGCAAGCTGTGGAAAGTTTTTGCAAACTTGAGTGATAGAGTATAGACAATAATAGACATTAATAGCTGGTTGTGTGATTCATTACGGTGTTCTAATAATCACCAGGTAAGCATGGAGAGGAAGGTCGCCAAAAAGATAGTTTTGCACAAAATGTACAAAAGAGCATGAAGAGACGTGCAGGCGTCATGTAATCGAGTACAGCATGTGTATCTAGTCTTGCTTTGCTCCCTCGCCAGTCTGTTCCCAGTATATTGTGTGATAATTTTGGTAGCAATTCTGTAGAAAGCAGTGTAGATTTTTTTCAATTTCAAAGTTCACAATCACAAACGAGTTCACCGTCTACCTCCATAGAAAATGAAAAATTTGTTTATTGTAATGATTCTGACTCCACATGAGAGGATGACAAAACAGTTTCATTAGCAGCAGAGCTGACTGACAAGCCCTCTAGATTCACTCATACAATTTCATCTTCTTTGTTTCAGATATTCCAACATGTTCTTGTTGCTAACTGCACAAAAATGGTATGAAATGGGAATGAGTCCTAACATAATCCAACCTAATGACAAATATTCATTTCAGATGCTAGAAGAGTTGCAACAACTCAAGAATATGAAATATTCAGCAAGGATAATGAGAATATCTCCATGTCTTCAATTCCACTCTTTCCTATAATTATAATAATGATGAGCAACTCAATGATGTTGAAATTCAAAGGACGAGATGAACTTCATTTCTACTGTAAGTTCATCAACAAGATACTCTCTAAATTTCAAATTGAACTTCATAATGTGCTTTATTTCATCAGATAAATGAATTGTCCAAGCTGGGAGGCAGCAATATCTAGGATTTAGTGAGAAGATGTCTGAATTCCTAATTTTCTGATACCTATGAATATAGTTAATTTGGGATGATGAAGAAGAAAGTCTTAAACAAACTAAAAATAGCCAAAGTACTGGTTGGTAAGGACTTCTATCTATCTCTTATAATTCTAAATTTTCAAAAGTTTGTTCCTTATGAAGAATTGAGTAAATGAAATTTTGAAGTTTCTTATTCTCTTTATGGTGTATATTTGATTCCATTTTCTTCTGTAGGGGCATGTGACAAAAGCTATTTGCAGTGTATACATAGGCCACTGAGGAAGTGATAAAGAAATGGCTGAGAAGAGCAAAGGAGAAGAGTGACCATCAACAGAAGACCAATAGTTTTTTGTCTTTGAGAATTTTATTCATATAATATCATTTGTTTTCGCGCTTTTTGTTGGACACACTTATTTTGTATATTGTCATGAATATATTTTTACATTGAATCAGTCTTATTGTTGGTCCAACTAACATCCATTTGAGATCCATATAATATCCAATAAAAGTCCAGAATTCGTCCATGTACGTACAATTTGAGTACAAAAAATGTACATAAATCAATATCCTATGGATATCCATTATAGGTCCAGATAACGTCCATTGAAAGTCCAATGTTCGTCCATTGTGGTACAATTCACGTACAGAATACGTACATATATGATCGAAAATGGATATCCGATGGACGTCCAGGTTGGTGGACAACGGATATCCATGGGATATCCATTGGACGTCCTTTGTCCATTGAAGGACGTCCATAGGATATCCATAATGTTCGTTGAAGATATCCATTGGACATCCATTGGATGTCCTTGTGTTTACTGGGATAGTTGTGGTAATGACTTTGAGTTTCTCCCTTCGTGACCAATGCATTCCACTTTGAGTATTTGGCTTTATCCCTAGTTGAGTTATTTTAGTTGCCCGAATATCATTGATACTATAGCAACCTTTTAAAAGTCATACGACATAAGATATACTTTTTTATTCAAATTTTCACCGTCAAGAACTCAGTATAAGGAAGTGCCGTAGCAATTTTTTTTTATATGAAGTACAAACATTATTTCGGCTCACTCTATCAGCCCTGCTATCATTTACGACATGACCTTTCCGGACAACCTGTATACATCCATTTCTTTATGTTCATAATATATCCTGGGAATGTTCCTCTTCAAAAAATAAACAAGTTCAGAACAATTGAATTTCATTCGGTCATTTAGAATTTCAATGATTCAGTATAGGTAGGTATACCAATGCACCCATATACTATACAGTGTGTCCAAGATAAGGTTGAACAGCATGGGGATCTCGAAAACGGTGAGAGATACGAAATCGGTTAAATGGGGAAAAAGTTGCGCATTCGGAGGCTC